TTGCATTAATTTACCAGTGGCCAGAATGACGGGACTTAGGAGCTGGAGCTTGAGCATATCTTCGTGAACACACACATACGCATGCACGTATGGGGACACAGGTGGAAACTGAGTGCCCAAATGAGCCACGGAGATATTAGAAAGAATTTTTTTAGTGTCAGAGTGGTTGACAAATGGAATGCATTAGGAAGTGATGTGGTGGAGGCTGACTCCATACACAGTTTCAAGTGTAGATATGATAGAGCCCAATAGGCTCAGGAATCTGTACACCTGTTGATTGACGGTTGAGAGGCGGGACCAAAGAGCCAGAGCTCAACCCCCGCAAGCACAACTAGGTGACTAGGTGAGTACACGTGAGCTTTCACAGGTGTATAAAAGGAGGTAGAGATTCAAATATAGATATGATAGAGCCAAGTAGGCTCAGGAATCTTTACATCAGTTGATTGACAGTTGAGAAGCGGGACCAAAGAGCCAGAGCTCAACCCCCCTGCCAGCACAAGTATGCGAGTACACGCACAGAGGCAACAGAAGGCATTCCCACACACATACCAGTAGTAACAACTGACTAACGTAACACGTAATCAGAGACGCCTTTAGGGTGAAATTACTAAACAAAGTTAACTACACCATATGCAGGCGATGAGTCACAATAACATGGCTGAAGTATGTTGACCAGAACACACACACTAGAAGGTGAAGGGACGACGACGTTTCGGTCCGTCCTGGAGCATTCTCAAGTCGAGAATGGTCCAGGACGGACCGAAACGTCGTCATCCCTTCACTTTCTACTGTGTGGTCTAGTCACCTACACCATATGATTCTATTGCAAATTGAGACGCCAGAGAATAGCTTCCTGGCAGTCATCTCAACCACAACCGACGACCGGAATGCGGAAATTCGGTCCCCCAGTGTAGCCGGAAATCACTGGAGTGATTACGACTATTGTTTAGCGAGTCCTAAAGTCATTTTGATTATGTTCGCAATTAGTTCCTCTTCATATATCCTGTAGGGGTGAGTGGGGGAATGGGGGGATGGGTGTGTGGGGGAAGAAATCAGAGGTAGATGGAAGAGGGGAATCGAACGGAGCGCGTGTGTGTGTGGGGTGGGGTGGGGTAGAGCCTAATATATAGATGGAACTATAAATTAAATAGTTTCACTCATTGTTTTGTACCAAAAGGAGAAGTAGGGTTGAAATAGAGGGAAAGGTAGGTAGGTGTGTGTGTGTGTGTGTGTGTGTGTGTGTGTGTGTGTGTGTGTGTGTGTGTGTGTGTGTGTGTGTGTGTGTGTGTGTGTGTGTGTGTGTACTCACCTATTTGTGCTTGCGGGGGTTGAGCCTTGGCTCTTTGGTCCCGCCTGTGTGTGCGTGTGTGTGTGTGTGTGTACTCACCTAATTTTTTGGGTGAGTACACACACACACACACACACGCACACACAGGCGGGACCAAAGAGCCAAGGCTCAACCCCCTGTGTGTGTGTGTGTGTGTGTGTGTGTGTGTGTGTGTGGGTGTGGTGTGTGTGTGTGTGTGTGTGTGTGTGTGTGTGTGTGTGTGTGTGTGTGTGTGTGGCGAGAAATACACGTGCAGAGGAGTGCAGTTGACAGTCGAGAATTGCCGTAAATTCACACTGGTCGTGTCGGCCTGTCAATCTCACCCGTCGCCACCACACCCTTCTGTCCAAGCCCGTCGCAGCAACCACCACTACCACCACCATCACCACCCTACCACCACCACACAGAACACTCTTCCCCCCATTTAACGTTTTTTAAACATAAAACCATTCCCACGTCAAACAATTCACCCGACAACACACACACATTCCTACATTTAAATCAATTTTATCCACGAAATTGCCAACACATTCACCAAACCCCCATTTCAGACCAACAACAGATTACTATATCCAAACACAGATTCAATTTGAAGCGAAATAGCGAATGTTGGTACTGTAACTGAGTCCCCCTTCTCCCTCCTGTCTCTTTCCTGTCACAGCCCACAGAAAACGGACCGTGGAGCCCAAACCGTCCCAAGACGATCCTAGCAATATCCTTTAAGACAGGCCGGAGAGACAGGCAGTTGGATGTGTCATTAAGGGCAGATCTTCCACCCCAGCCTTATTGGACAAGTCGGCTCATCGTTACCTCTTAACTAGTTTCCAAACAAGGCATTTCCCGTCGCCACGTTGGCTCCGTTTTCTCTCCTGTTAGACGAACTTTTGTCGTTATTCACTGACCTCTTGTATGAACCTAGTCTGGAACTTTTATCTATATCCTTACCTAGAAGATAAAATTATTGTGTCTGTATATGGTTGGGGGCCAAGGGTTGGGTGCTAGCCTCGCCCAACTTTGCAGGGGAATGACCTGGGGTATAGGACGGACATAGGTCGGTCTGGGTCGACCTAAGTTAAATACTTTATATATATATATATATATATATATATATATATATATATATATATATATATATATATATATATATATATATATATATATATATATGACTAGTGGGAATGTTGGTTCTCCCGGTTATATTGCTGGACAAACGACTGTTCAAGGCGTCTGTTGTAGCCACATGTTGTAGCCATATGTTGCAGACAGCTGTTGTAGTCATATGTTGGAACCAGGTGTTGCGGCCATATGTTGTACACAACTATCTGCTCAAGCCAGCTGTTGCAGGCGCTGATAGCTATGCAGAGAGATCTTCAAACAAGTATACCTGCAGCCTTCAACGAACGTCTTAAGGTGCGTTTAACGTCTTAAGATACGTCTATGACGTACGACAGTGTTTACGAGCTGCAATTAACGTTTTTTTACGATTCATGAAACATTACTTGCGTTGAAGGCCCCCCTGAGATTTACCGTCTGTAAGCGATTTACGCTTATTTTTTTTTTTAGCGATTTACTGCTTATCGGTGTATGTCTTACGATCGGCGTCTACGATATGTCTTACGATTTTGGCCAGGTGGAATATTTTCATGTGAGTATTTGATGTTGTATGTTGTCAAGTCTTTCGTTATTGGTGTAATTTTCCACGTCTCTTCGTTATTTTTTTAATATATCGTAATCATTTCTCTCTTCAAGTGATCGTGTCAAATTTGATGTCAATCTTACTGGGAGATTCTTCGATTTTTACACTGTCTAGTGTGATTTTATCTCTGTTTTCTCTCTGTTTCTTCTGTCTACTGCCGTCTCATGTTTTTATTTCTCTCTATTGACGTCACGTCTTGTGTTCTGTCTAACTCCCGTCTACTCTTATTTCCCCTTATCTCTTGGCATTTCCTCTTATCTCCTTCTGTCTCTCGTCTCTCTTTCGTTCCGTCCATCTATTCTCGTCTCCTCTTGTGTTCTATCTCCCGTCTACACTTGTCACCTCTTGTCACCTGTCTCCTCCTGTCTTCTGTCTCATTCTGTCTTCTGTGTTCTCATCTATGTCCATTTTTCCCGTCTATTACTGCCAATGACTCCTCTTAACATTTATATGTTTCTAGTGTTTTTCTTCGGTAATTTCTCTTATTCTTTCTCTTCTACTTATCCATTATCTCTTCTAACACCCCCCCCCCTTTTCTCTTTTTCTGGGCTAAAAAAAAATATGGGTTATGAGAGATGCTGAGAAAAGGTCACAATAGCCAGCTGGAACAAATAACCCAACTCACACATATATCAAATGAAAATTAAATTGAAAGTGATGTTGGGATATCTCTTGTTTGTAACCTCATGTTGTGAGATATCATATAATCTCATGTTGTGATATCTCCTATAATCTCACGAGGTCTGTTATATCTCTCATGGCTCTCATCTCCTTCATCTTTCTCATTTTCACCATGTTTCTTATCTCTCCTGTTTTATCTCTTCATTCTTATGACCCTATCCAGCTCAATTCGTTTTCTTTCTCTCTCTCTATCTCCCTTGCTTTATCTCTTCTCTCCGGATGTACCTACACTATCTTTATCACAAGCACTTCTCTTCTCCCTCGTTGAGCTTTCTATTCTACCTCATACTCTTCTCTTCCCCTTTCTCTTCTATCTTTCACTCTCCTCCTTCTCATTTTCTCCCTAATCCCAACATCTATATCTAGCCACATAGATATAGAGAGTCTTTGCATCTCCTTGAGTCATTGAATACTAGACGTTGGTGTTCTCAAGTGTGGTGGGAGGTTGGGTCGTATTCTGGTGGTTCTTTAAGACTGTTGTGGTTGGAATTACGCAAAGTACGTGATGGCGTCCTTCTCTCTCTCTCTCTACATGTGCCTCTTCCCTCATTCTTCATTAACATAACTCATGAGGATTGTCAAAAGTGACTACTCCCGGAGAGTTTTTTTTAAGACAGTCGACCTGCACATTAGAAAATGAAGGAATGGACTACGTTTCAGTCCATTCTGGACCAAAAGTCCAAGGGCCTTAATGTGGGTTAGGGGGTCTTAAGTGTGTGGGTTGGATATCTTAAGATGTGTGGACTGGATGTGTCTTAAGATGTGTAGGTTGGATATCTTAAGATGTGTGGGCTGGATGTGTCTTAAGATGTGTGGGTTGGGTGTTCCATTTTCAGCCACGTTATTGTGGCTAATTGTACCAACAATTTTATTCTTTTGTGAAGTTCACGAATTGTTTTTTTTATATTTTTATTTCGACAGCTCTAAATGACGAAATGACACGACGAAATGACCAGTGATTGATGACGCCAGTGAAGGCTGCAATTAGCAAGTGAATGAAATTGACGTACTCACCTACGTGAATGAAAGCGACGTACTCACCTACGTGAATGAAAGCGACGTACTCACCTACGTGAATGAAAGCGACGTACTCACCTCCGTGAATGAAAGCGACGTACTCACCTCCGTGAATGAAAGCGACGTACTCACCTACGTGAATGAAAGCGACGTACTCACCTCCGTGAATGAAAGCGACGTACTCACCAACGTGAATGAAAGCGACGTACTCACCTACGTGAATGAAAGCGACGTACTCACCTCCGTGAATGAAAGCGACGTACTCACCTACGTGAATGAAAGCGACGTACTCACCTACGTGAATGAAAGTGACTCACCTATGACCGTGGTGAGGATCATGATGCCAAGGATGACGGAAGTAATGACCATTCCGACCGTGTCAACCAGAGGCCCTTCGGTCGTGTCGTTCCCGAAGACCCGACTCCCGTTCATGGAGTCGTTGACCCCTAGCCAGAAGCTGTCGTCGAGGGTGACCAACGAGTCATTACTGCTGAGGAAGAGGTCTGGAGGAGCTGAGGGACTCAGCATTCCCATTGTGCTCATGCCAGCCTCAGCATTCAGCACGGTCCCTGTTAGAGACTCCATTACCGTCACATTGGCTGGAGGGGTCTTCAAGAGCGACTCCATAGTCGTCCTCAAGGTAAAATTAAGGGGGAAGATGGGTTTGTTGATAGGCGCGGGCGTAGTAGGAGGGGTGTTCCCCACAGTTGCCCATAGTGTGGTAGCTGGGGTGTCCGTGGTCTTGCTGGGGTCTTGGAGGATTGGACGCCCCTGGCCGCTGCCGCTATCCAGCAAGCCATCCAGGTATTCCAGCAAGTTAGGCAACGTGTAGTTCCAGTCATCGCTCGTCGTGTTCTCTGCAATAATAGGAAAAAATGGTTCGCTTTTAGTGACTTGAGTTAGTGGGAGAAATGACGTTAAAAACCTTTTCTGGGAATACCACTTTCCCCCCACTGGCTCACGGTGAGTATATGTTGGTAGTATGTGTGTCTGTATGTTCCAGGGATGAGGGTTCGAGCCCACTGAATAGCTGTAATATTTTCATTCATAACGTGTTTCATTCATGTCTCATTCATAACAAAGACATACGTTCAATTACAAACTGCACAAACACAACACACGCACACAACATACCCTCACTCACACGCTGATGGTATCACCAACAAAGCAAATGAACTGAATGAAAAGACATGTGATACCCTGCTGTAATAGCAATGACAGAGACCAAAGATACTAGTATGATTACTGATATAGTAATCAAATAGAGAACAAATAGAGAGAAGAACGAACACAGAGGAACACAGATAATGTAGCACAGCTAGTTAAGTGGGAATGGAAGTTTAAGGAGGTTAGTCACAGATACAGACGAGAATACAAACTGTATCACAGAAATCAGAGGCGCAGGTGGAGACAGGTTAGAGTACAAAACATAAGTGGACCACAAAAGTGGACAAGAAAAGGCTAAAGCAAGAATATTAATATATTGATATTAATATATAATAATAATATTAATAATATACATATATTAATATATTAATATATATAGTAACAGAAGTTCAATGACCATAAAAAAAACACATCTCCAGACAGAATGAGAGCAAAACAGTGATTTTCACACAACGTAGTGAGATCGATATTAAACAGTCTATTATTAACTTGACTCGAACCTGCGATCCAGATAATCTGTTCTTTAAACCAACCACTGCTCAACCACTTGGGCTGGACGGTAGAGTGACGGTCTCGCTTCATGCACTTATTTACTGCTAGGTGAAAAGGTCCATATCAGGGTGAAAGAAACTCTGGCCGGGAATCGAACGCGGGCCCTTAGGATTACGACCCCCGAGCGCTATCCACTCAGTGTGTTTATGCATATATCATGTGCATCAATATTGCCAGTCTAATAATTTAATGTCCTGTGTCTGAATTGTTTTATTAACAATTTGCATAATATACATAATCGAGTAGCAGTCCCTGGATCAAATGATAATTGTGTTCATATATCCATTTTAATACGTATAACTGCCAGTGTCGTTGTGTATGATTTAATTTGTGTATATACAAGTATAATCTGCCGTGATCCCTATACCTAGTACCGGACCCAAAAATTTGTTTCACGAGTTCATCTTTCAAAGCAACGATATATATATATATATATATATATATATATATATATATATATATATATATATATATATATATATTATATGTGAAAAGGTGAAAAATCATATCATAATCTGATCTCCATATAATATATATATATATATATATATATATATATATATATATATATATATATATATATATATATATATATATATATATATATATTTTTATTAAATATGACCGAAAAAGTAAGATTATAATTCTAACACGAATTTTCTCAATCTTCGTACATTAGCTTCACCTGCTGGAGTAAATCAAAAATCACTACCCATCACTTCTACATGGGTACCATCGAGCAAAAAGTCTTAGTCGACATGAACTTGAAACCGGCCATATACTGCAGGTATGTTGACGACATTTTACACAGGTACCTGATGTCAGACATCTGCAGGAGCTGAAGGAGGCATTTGAGCAGAGTTCCGTGCTGCGTTTCACTTACGAGACGGAAAAGGATGGGAAGCTGCCTTTTCTAGATGTAACAGTCATGGAAAAGGGCGGAGGTTTCCACACTGCAGTCTACACAAAGAAACAAACATAGGATGTGCCTAAATGCCAACAGCGACTGCCCTGACAGGTACAAGAGGAGTGTTGTTAACGCATACGTCGACCGTGCTCTCAGCCACAGCTCAGAATGGAAGCAAGTCGACGAAGAACTCTGTAGGGTAAGGCAGGTTCTAGTCAATAACACGGCTTCTCCAATGGTTTCATCGAAGACATCATAAGAAGGAAAGTGAAAAGCCATGCAACCTCTGAAGAGACAACTAACACAACACCTATACCCCCTATTAGACTATTTTACAGGAACTTCTTTTCCACAGCTCATAAAACAGAGGAAAGGGTCCTGAAAGATATTGTTAATAGAAACGTTATCCCTACAGACAAAAATCAGAGGATACAACTGACGATTTACTATAAAACCAGAAAAACGGCCAGCCTACTCATGAGAAACTCTCCAGACACGAAACAGAACGCTTTAAAAGAGACTAACGTCGTCTATGCCTTCAAATGCCCACTTGGGGACTGTAAGCTCCAAAAAACCCAGTATATAGGCAAGACAACAACATCTCTTTCTAGGCGTTTAACGATGCATAACAACAGGGCTCCATTAAGGAACATATAATCTCTTCCCATAACCAAACCATCGCCAGAGAAATCCTAGTAAACAACACAGAAATCATCGATAGATACAGCGATAGCAGGCGGCTTGACGTTTGCGAGGCACTACACATCAAGAAGTCAACACCAGCAATCAACAGCCAATTATTGCACAACTATATTCTACCACCTCAAGACTCCGCTCCAATATAGAAGCATCAAGAAATATGGACCAATAGGCTTTCTACAAACACTTCTATTCAATATCCATTGTTTCGTGTTCTGTCTTGTGTTGATACTTTTAATACCCTATTAATATCCTCTAATGCCACATCATCCTTCCCACCTCACTCAAATGTAATGCCACATCACCCTTCCCACCTCACTCAAAAGTAGATATAAAATCAGGAAATGCAAGTTCTAATCAGTTGTGTATTTGTGAAGTCTTTGAAAATGTAATAAGTTTTACGAAACGCGCCCGTGTCGCGTCAGACTAGAAATAAAAATGAATTTTGGAGAAGTGATTTTTGATTTACCTCCAGCAGTGAAGCATAATGTACGAAAGATTGAGAAAAATTCGTGTTAGAATTATTAATCTTACTTTTTCGGTCATATTTAATAAAATATGTCTACAGGAAAGACTGCTACCAAAATATACTAATATATATATATATATATATACATACATATATATACATTGATATCTTCCCCCTTTTAAAATACGTACATTCTCTTGTTTAAAAAATGATAGTCGAATTACATTCA